CGGACGCCCGGTGAGCCGGGCCGACCTTGCGCCTGTGCTGCGACACCCGCGGGCCGACCGGCAGCGCGCCCGGAGGTGCGGGAGGAGCTGAAACAGCGCAGCAGCCGCGGAGTGGGCCGCGCTCAACCGTTTACAGAGGGCGTCCAGGCCCTTCTCTCGTACACGCTCCACGACGAGCCTGTGAGCTAGTCACCAGAGCAGGACGTTAACAAGTATTTATTAGGTTAACGTTGAAAGGGACAAGGGGCTTGTGCAGTGTCACAGGCTGCTAGTACTGGACGCCTGGCATTCAGAAAATTATCCTCCCTGATCTCTATCCTAGGCTTTAGGGCTCGGATCTAACAACGGGACAGCAAAAAATAATGAGTGCCCCGCACTCAGTGCATGTCATGAAGATCTTCAGGCGCCCTGGGCTTCAAAGTTCATTTAAATTATTGCTCTTTCTCCTCATACAGGTCTCCAAGGGCATCTACTCTGTCCCCTAACCCTGCTTCATTTTTCCAGCCACCTGACATTTATCATCTATGAGAACATTCCATGTCTAGAATGTAAGCTCCCTGGGGCGGGGGCTTTGTTTTGTCCACGGCTGTACCTCCGTCCCTTGGAGCAGGGTCTGGCACACAGCAGGTGCTCAGTCAGTAGCTGTTGGGTATCTAGCGAGTCATGCAACTTCTCTGTGCCTGTTTCCTCAGATATAAAGTGGAGAAACGGGTTATTGTGAGGATCAAGTGAGTCAATATCTGTAAAGTGCTTAGTACAGTCGCCCCTTCCAGAGTGAGTGTAATGTGACAGTGTTATTATGACTACGTGGTGACTGAATGAATGAGTCCTCTCATCCGTGTAGCCTGGTGTAGTAGAAGGAATGCCTAGCAGGTTATTAGTGTTCTAGTTCCACCTCCAACACCTACTACGGGGTCCATGGCCCTCTTTCCATCAGGTTCCTCATCAGTACAAAATGGGCTGAGGTGCCCAGGGGTGGTTTCCCAGGCTGTCTCCCTACGAGCAGGGAAAACTGAGCTGGTTAGTGGTCAGGAGCCCAGCTTTTATAGTCTGGCCAGCAGGGTGGTTTATAAAAGGCAAATCTTACCAGGCCACTCATCTGCTTAACAACTTCCATTTTCTTCCTCGGGTTATTGTCCACACCGCAGATGAGGGCTTTCAATACCACAACTACCTAAGCACCGGTACCTCCTGCTCCTCTCCCGCTCCTGGGGCCCCGAAAACTCTCTGCCCTTCCTGCTTCTGTTGTTTCACTTGCTTTCATTTAACTGTAGAGACAGTACATGTCCACAACCTTGTATCTGCTGTTCTGAATTCTGAAAACCTTTCAAAACTCACTGGCAAAACCTGTTCTGACCTCAACTCATCGGTTGACAAAAATCTGAGGTAAAGTTATTTACAGTGTTTATATTATACATTCCACTTGGAGTGTATATTTCACTGCAGAACTGTTAATGCATTTGAATGTGGCGTGCATCAGCCCCTGCTAGAATTGTAATCCCATATAGAGCATGTATGTACCGTGTAACTTTTCTAAAATCTGAACAATTCTGAACCACTCATCCCCAAAAGTTTCAGGTAAGAAATTATGGACCTGTATAATAAAATATTCAACTGTGGAGCCAGACTGCCTGGGTTCCGTTCCAAGCTGTGCCAGCCCACTAGCTGTGAGACCTTAGGAGTCTGCCTCTCTGCACCTCAATTTCCTCATCTGAAAGGATGGTAACAGAACCCACCTTCATAGAGCTGCTGCAGAATCACCTGAGTTTATATTAAGTGAAGCACTTAGCACAATGCTACTGTAAGATGTTTTCCCCCACAACTGCCCAATCAGGCGAATATTAGTATCCCCATTTTCACAAGGAGGAATCACAATTCAGGGAAGATAACTGTGCAGTTCAAACCTTTTCACCCCAATAGTTCTAAGGGGTGTGTGTTTGTGTGTCTGTGTGTGTGTGTGTATAAGGGAGGCTGGTTGTCCCAAGTAGTTCCCCCATCAAAGTCTGTATTTTTAAAGTTTCCTTTTTATTTTAACACCCATAGGAATCCTCCTTTCCATGTCCTCCTATATACGTGGTGTTTCCCCCAATCTTGCTGAAAAACTGACGGTATAGGAAGATGAGCCTTGTTTTTATCCACTGGTTTTGAGAACCTCCAGCACACAGCTGAAAGCCCCCGAGAACCCAGTTTTTAGGCCAAAGGACGAGAGTTTAGCACAAGTGATGAAGGCGCCTCGTTGCAGCACGAGCTTCCCACCCGCCCTGACATGTGATCCCTGGCGGCGGGGCCACGCCCCTTCCGGGAGTAGCCCCACCCCGTCCTCCGGAAGCCCCGCCTTCCGGGCGCAGTGTGTGCCGGACGCTTGGGCACGTACCACTGAGCGACCCAGTGGGGGTGATGGCTTGGGGCGACCGATTTGGCGCCGGCCTGTCCCCAGTGCCTCTCAGTTTGAGCTCGTTCCCCAAGTCTTGGCACTCTGGGCTCTCAGAGTGGCCGCTAGGGGAGCTTTCACCTTTCCCCAAGCCATCCCCGTCCTCGCCCCCTCCGGACCCGGAGGTGGCGCGGTCGGGGCGGGGCCTCGGCGACGGACGGGCGCGGAGTGGGTGAGGAGCGTGCTGGGTAGGGTCGCGGTCGCTGTGGCTGACCCCGTGCAGTCGGGGCTTGGGACCTAGGACGGGCGGGGTCGGGAAGCATCCTGGGGCCAGCTCGCATGGGCTGGGTTCTGGCCCGACTGCGGCCGCCGGCCCGCGCCCCGTCCGGACCCTCCGGGCGGCCCCGACCCGCGGCGGGGTCCACAGGGAGGGCTCCTTCCGCAGAGACCTAGCCTCGCCCAGGAGGGACAGACGGATGCCCTAGGCCAGGCAGACCCACTCCTGACCCCGACAGACAGAGTCACCGCCCCCCCGCGAGAGCCCTCCCTGACCACCGGACCGACGGACTTCCCTGTCCCCTCCCAGGCTGGACACGTTGGTGCACACCCCGGCCCGGGAGGGACCGATAGTGGACAGAGCGCCTTCCCCTCCGCGCACACTGCTAGCTGCAGAGTTGTCAGATGCAGACGCACTGACCCCAGGAGGGACAGAACAGACAGACACTTCCAACCTGGACTGAGACGCTCTTCCTCTGTGCGCGTGGCTGGCCCCAGAACGCGCACACACCCCTGACTGTGGCCCCGCAGCCTAGGTGAGCATCATGCTGTTCCCCTCCCACCAGGGTTCAAGGTTGGCAGACTTTGAGTTCCTGAGGCCTGATGGTTTACACCAGACTTCTTTCCAACCAGGGTGGCCAGGACTTGGCCCTGCTTGCTCTTGACTGCCTCCAGCCCCAACCTAGCTGAGGCTTTGCATCCATCCTGGCAGCTTGGAGTTTCCCTCTGAGGATTGTGATCTTCCAGCTGCCTGGCCTGAGGTGGAAGTTCTGGGGCCTGAGCAAGCATGGGGGCTGCCTGTGAGTAGGGCAGGTGGGGTCTGGCCCTGACGTTTCTTTTGTAGGGATCTCCGGCCTCATCATGGACCCGGAGTGCTCCCGGCTTCTCCCAGCTCTCTGTTCTGTTCTGGCGGACCCTAGGCAGCCCGTGGCAGATGACACCTGTTTGGAGAAGCTGCTGGACTGGTTTAAGACGATAAGTGAAGCAGGTAAGGGTGAGGGTGCTCCTGTTGACTGTTTCCCCAGAGGCCAGAGGGTACACGGGGCTCCCTGTCCTAGGGAAGGAGCGTCCGTCTGGTGTCCTTCCTTCACATCCGAAAGGTTCAACCTGGCTAATTGGTGACACATCACACTGAAGCCTGAGGGAATGACCAGGAGAGTTTGAGGTTGAAGTTCTTAGCTGATTCCAGCCTGATTCAGGCCTCCCGTTGGTCGGTTCATGCTAGATGGCTGCAAAAGGCACGGACAAACTTATTTTGTTGTTCTCGTTGTGTTTTTTTGTTTGTTTTAAGAAATTAGCTTTTCCTTCTGATTATGAAAGTAATACGTAGTCTTTAAATAGAACTTGAACAACACAGAGGAGTAAAGAGGAAAATTAAACCACCATCAACGTTTTTATTTCCTTCTGACCTTTTTCCCTAACATATCATAAAGCTGTATTTTTCTCATGAAAATGAGGTCACACCATAAATACATTTTGGTGTCTTGCTTTTGCTCTCTTACCATTCTAGTGGGTGTTTTCCCCATGGAACACGTTGATTTTATTGACTGTATGTCACTTGCTGTATGAATGGACCATAATTTATACAGTCACTCCACTATTGTGGGGTGTTTACATATGTTCCTAATGTTCTATTATTATAAATGACGCCATAATGGCTTTCCTTGTACATAAGTCTTCTCATGTAAATGTTTGTCCTCTTGGCTGATAATTGCCTTAGGATAGATGCCATGTTGTTAATTTCTGCTGTTTGTTGTTTACTTTGGTTTACCCTATTCTTTTACTTGCTTTTGAGTTGAATATTTCAGTCTTTCTCTTTTTTCTAAAATATGCATTGACAGCTATACATTTCTTTGAAAGTGTTGCTTTAGCTACACCCTGCAAGTTTTACTGTGCAGTATTTTTATTGTAACTTAGTTCAGATATTTCATGCTTTTCATTATGATTTTTTTTCACCCACAAATTATTTAAAAGGTTATCTTTTAGATTTACAGTATGGAGTTTTTTTCAGTCTTTTTATTATTGGTTTTTAATTTATTTCGTTGGAATTAGAAAACGTCTGTATTTTGATTCTTTTATATCTTGAGGCTTTTATTGCAGCATAGTACACAGACAAATTTTGCAAATGTTCTATAGATTTTGCTATATGGTATTGTTTTTTGGTGTTTGTAGGCTCCTCAAG